CTGCTAGAACCAAACCAGAGATTCCTTCCTAGGTGGTCTGGTCCCTCTGCTCGGGGGCAGACCGATACCATATCGGGAGTGAGGAAGAAACTTTAACCCATGGTCAGACAGGAACAGACTGTGAGTGTGTTTGTCTTCCTGTGTATGGAGCAGTGAGGTCTGCTTTAACAACCTTTGTAGCAGCAGGACATTGGCTGCCGTGGTCCCCTGGCTTCACTCGTGGCAGATTAGGGTGCTATGTCTTGTGTCAGGTTTGACTAGTTTCCCTAAGAGTTTGGAGCATGGATTTGTCTAGGGTGGTTTGGATAGGATTGATCCTGCCTCAGGCAGGGGGTTGGACTAGATGACCTCTGGAGGTCACTCTCAGCCTTGCTTCTCTACAATCCATGAAAGAGAATTCAAAATATAATGTCTCATGGGTAAGAAGGATGGATTAATAGAGCCCCTGTCCCTTTTTTGCAGGAACTAGGAGGGTCTGGCATGGAAAGAACCAGTAGAAAACCTTTCTCTCTCTTAACAAATAGAAAGGTTTGAAGTTATAAACTTACTGGGTACCCAGAGACTGATACAGAGCCTCAAAGAAGGGTCCAGGACTGATACCGTGGTAGAAATCTAAGTTCTTTTACTTTTCCTGCAATTGGGGATGCAGTGGGGCCAAATAGGTTGCCCCCCTTGGGCTTTGCTAGTGGAAGGTCTCTTCCAGTCTGTCATACCTACCTGTGGCTGACCGATTTAGGCCTCCTTTCCATGTCCCTGTCTCTGCTGGCAGATGTCTTGGCAGCGGACAGACCACCAGCTGTCAGATGACGTAGGTGTCCAAACACGTCTACAGCACCGTGTGGCTCCGCTCAGCAGCTGTGAGGCCACAGCAGGAAGTGGGACTTGAGAACAGGGCACCAGATGCCAAAGGGACTACCGCCAAAGGCACAGGTGTGTCTGCATAGGCTGGATGGTGGCAGAAGCTTAGCAGAGGTGGTGTAACTTTGCCAACAGTAGTGTAAGTAAGTGTTTGCGTCCTGGACTGTAGATATCCGGTAACATTTCATAGGGATGCGCTACTCTGTTATGTAACTTCTACCTTTTCTAATGACAGGACTTCCTGGAAGGTCTTCTGTGAAAGTTTGACTAAAGCTGGCTAGTGTTAGCAATTATATTGTGATTTGTAGCAGACAACGTGACAGGAGTTTATTCTGGGGACATGTGAATATGATGGCTCTATATCCTGACCAGTATGTGAATGTTTCAAGTAAGCAGTGCCACCTTGAAGCATTCTCCTTTTGGTGATGTATGAAGCATCACAAGCAGGTGGGAAGAAAAGCAGCGAGGAGTCTCACTCAAGGTTGATGATGGCTTTGCCAGGTAGCGGGCTGGGGTTGAAAGTCCATTGTCTTTTTCTCTAGAGCATTGGCCATGGGGCTCCAGCAACTGGATTGGATGTATCTCCGAGTGAATATCCAACCCCCCTCTCACGGAGCCACCGAGCAATGTTAAAGTAGGGGCCACGTGACACCTTTTTGCCCAATTCGCAGTGAGGTGGTTTGTAAAGGTTAAGAGTTAACATCTTGGGAGTTCAGCCCCCTTGCTTCTAGCCAGTGGGACCTAGATCTAGAATAACTATCAGCGATTTATTTCATTCTGCAGGTAGCGGCTCCAATCCTTTCCAGCACTTGGAGAAGAGCTCTGTCCTACAAGAGGTATGAAGAGAAGGTGTAGTGTCATTTCCTCTGGCATGAGACAGGATGCTGTAATGGCCTAAGACAGTGGTTCTTGACCTGTTTTATACCAGGACCCATTTGTAAACATCAGTGGCCAGTCCCGACCCAGTGCCCCTCACTCCTCACCCACTGCCCCCCATCCTCAGGCTCCCAGTGTGTAGGTCAGGGGTGGAGGGTGTGTGGGGCATGGGGCCCCCAAGCAATCCCTTACAGGCTGGAGCTCTGCCAGGCTGCAAGGGAAAAGCTATGGCTTCCCATGTTTTTCTCCTTTTAAGCTTGTTGATCCATTTTTTAAGTTTGTTCACGACCCTTTCATTTATTCTTGCAACCCACTTTTGGGTCATGACCTACGGGTTGAGAAATGCTGGACTAAGCAACAAGTTTGAAATAGCTAGCATTCATGTGGCCAATGGCTAAATTGATATATCATCAGCTTAGCATTCTGGGGTGTATAATTTGGGGCCCATGGAGTTTATAACACAGTGACTTCAGTTGGGACCCTAGAAGACAAAGATCTGTCTTTCGCCTTAACAATCCTATGGCCCTTTGATGAGACTGTGTATGCGCAACACTTTTATAGGTTTATGATTTGATTTATTACCATATTTGTATTTGATTATGTTAATTTTAGGAGCATGAACGATGTTTTTATAACGGTTGGTCCTATTTTATTGTTATAGTTGTATTTTTGTTACGTTTGTTTCAATTTATATTATGGTTCTATGTTTGCTATGTTGTTTTCAGGAGCATGGCTTTTAGCCAGAATCCTTAATAAATTGACTGCCTTGGTGAGAATGCATCACTCTGATTTCTAAGTGTTAATTGCCATTGTGTTGCCATGCAGTAATACCATTGTTTCTGCTGTGTTTGCAGGCTCGTCTTTTTAATGAGACCCCCATAAATCCACGACGATGTCTGCACATACTTACCAAGATCCTTTACTTATTGAACCAGGTAAGTGTGATCATTTCCTCCTAAGTGCGTAGTCATGGTTGAGTTTGAGTGAAAGAAGTATTTTCAGGAGATCAGAACCACTTGTACTTTCCGCTGTCAGCTCCAGGTGAGTTGCTGCCAGTTACAGAAAGGAAGTCCTTGCTCTGTAATGTTATGAACTTAGTTCCCAGTTTCAACATAACTTGGAGATATTTCACTCTCTGAAGCATAGGAGCCAACTTGTATTTTTGCTTGGGGCAGGGTGGAGGCAGCTAAGATGATGGACATGTTGCTCCCCCCACAACCCTCCACTGTTTGGGAAAGGGGGGATATGGGCACAGGCAACACGTGTGGAGGTAGAGGGGGACATGAGTAACAGGGAGGGGGGTGAGGCATGTGCCCCCAAAATTTCTGTCCACAGCTGGGCACAGGGCTGCAACAGGGCCGAACCAGCTCCAGGCAGGTGCCACCTCTGTGGTCCAGTGGGTGGGACTCAGTGCAGGAGGGAGTGCCATGCCACCAAAGTGAGGTGCCCCCTGCCCACCCAGAAGCAGTGGGGGCACAACCCTGTGAAGCTACCACTGCCATGCCTCCCTCACACTGGTGGCCATGGCAGTGCAGCGCTCCCTCCCACACCTGGTCCTGCCCGCTGGGCCGCAGAGGTGTTCTGGCCCATCTGCAGCCCTGTGCCCTGCTGTGGGCGCAGAAATCTTAAGGGACACGTGTCTTCCTCCCCCTCCCTCCACCGTTTTGCCTTGACCCCTCCCCACACTCCCTTCTCCCCACCACATGCACATTGCCTGTGCCCCCTCTCCCCACCCCTTTAAACTTACCTGGAGGGAGCTGTTCTCCACTGCTGCTTGGTTGCCACATGCATGTGCACACACACATGCATGTGGTGCCCACTGCCATCTGATCACCCTTGCTCCTCTTCCAGCCTGCAGTGAGAAACCTGCAGATTCCCACATTTTTCTCCTTTCCTCAGATTTGGGCCCTGACAGTCCTTTTGGGTCCCCACATACTTGGTGCCTGTGCTCTGAAGCTTCTCAGACATGTTATGAAAGACTCCTGGGAGCTGCATACAGGCACTTTGATAGCTAAAAACAATCCTGTTTGTGCTGCGGAAATAACTGTTCTGGAGAGAGTATGAATTGGCACGTAGTTGGGTGACATGCCTGTCTTGGTTAATGTGGGGAAAAGGAGACAATACAAAGAAACTAGTGAGCTAAGGAATCCACATAACCATGCATGCATGAAATGTGGACTGAGTTGGGCAGTGTTTAATACAAAGGCAAAACCAGCAGGGATTACAAGCTCTGTGCACTGCTCTGTCTTAATTAGAGCCATTTCCCTTTGAAGAGATCCTGAGAGAATCCCCTTAGTTGCCACACATAAACCAAAGCTTATAGTCACTGCTGCTGTAAAGTGAGCAGAGGGAGCCCAGGGTAATTAATAAGCTCTGTTCCTAGTATTTTTTCTGGTGCGAAGGATGATGAGCTCATGTTGAAACAAGGCAAATGAACAATATAATTGTGTCAGCTGGTGCTCTGTAAAAACAAAAAGTTATGGAGGGAGTGTTTTTCAGATGGAAAAAGATTTAAAGGAAGAAAAAGGTTTGAGACAAACAATTTCAAGCATCTAAGGGGATATTATTATAGACCAGAAAAAGGAAAAACAGACTAACGAAAAAAAACACCTAGGAATTACTGGCTGCTGACATTGATTGGTCTCTGACTTCTGCTATTTGTATATTCTCCTTAGGGTGAGCACTTTGGAACCACCGAAGCCACAGAAGCCTTCTTTGCAATGACCAGATTATTTCAGTCCAATGATGTAAGTCTGGTGATTCAGCATAAAATGTTTCCTGTTCACATACCGCCAGCTACATTGTGAGCTCTGGCAGTTACAGTTTTTGCCATAGTGGCTCCCCGGTCAGTGTCAAGGGCGTGCTGAAGGATGCTAATCACTAATTAAAAACTTACGAAGTAGGCTAATGAAAACTTATACATTTCTGAATGAGTTAGTCTCTAAGGTGCCATTGTGCCCTGCCTTCCACTTCACAAACAGTAACAACCAGATTCTGTTTTGTGAGACAGGTATTGTTTTATACACGTCTTCCATTTGGGAATGACTTATAAATTCCTTACCACTCTAAAAAGGAAAGAAAGTTGTTCCTTATAAGTTAAGTCTCCTAGAATTCCCATGATAGGAATAGCTAAAAATAAAGGGTTTAGAACAGGAGTATCAATCCTAGGGCCCATGGGTTGGAGTCGCTCCAACCAGCTTGCCACACTACTGTTGCAATTCAAATGACTGAGTGAGTAATTTGGCTAAATGCCTTCATTAAATCCAAAGGCCAGTAGTGGTTATACAGTTATTTTAAATAGGCATGCTAAAATACTATAGGAAAATGTGAACTACGTATTAGCTAGCAGTGTTACCGTACTTAGTAGTGAGCACATCCACACAGTGATTACAGTGGCAAGCATTTGATCCGAATAGGTACAGCTGGGTTAGTGAGGGAGATCCTAGCTGTCCCTTGCTGGCTGGCTCCGGCAGATCAGCTCCACTAGCAAAGAACCTCTCTGGCTTGCTCCATTTTATCCCCCTAGAATGATTTCTCATTGCATCATCTTTTGAGTTCTAGAGATTGGTCAGAACTCACCCAAACTTCCACACAGACTTACCTTGTCATTCCCAATATGCAAAACCTCCTTCCTTGCTTTTTTGGGTATTGGTCATAGCTATGTTGGTCTAAGGATATATGCAGACAAGGTTCTTTGGGTCAATTTGCAAGCTTTTGGGTAAAAACGCACAAAAGCTTGCAAATAAGAATTTGTCCAGCTATATTTTAGTTGGTCTAATAGAAGATATCGGATTGACCCAGAGGACCTGGTCTTACTTGCTTTGTGCTTTCTTGGGTCTCCCTAGCCCTCCTTGGCTTGCCAGTGTCCTTTCTATTGTTCACCCTTTTCTCCTACATTGGCACATGTAATTAAACTGCATCCTGCATATTACACTTCAGCCTGCTAACATTAGCATTTTGACTGTCTCTGTCTCTCTCAAATCATTACCATAAATTTCATCACTCCTACTGCTACCACCAGTTTATTGTAAGTAGAAGTAACTGTCGTTTCAATGTTGACATGTTTTAATGCTTTTTTTGTAATACATTTCCACAGCAAACCTTAAGAAGGATGTGCTACCTTACAATCAAAGAGATGGCCAATATCTCCGAAGATGTCATCATTGTCACCAGCAGGTATAAGAGCTATGGAAAACCTTAATCTTCAAGGTTCTGAAATATGTACAGTTACTTCAGCTACTGTGTTTTCCATGAGGCTGGCTCCCTGACATATGTAAAATGGATAGTAAGGGACACAAAACTAAGTATGATACTAAGTGCATCCTCACATCTTTCCAGAGTTAAGCTACTAACAGAAGGTAGGCAGTTCTGGTTTAAGTACGTGAAACACCATTGAGTCATGCCTGAAATCCCGGCTTGCTAAACTGTCATCTTTTGTATGGACAAGTCTTAGCTGCGTCCTATTGCTGAACAAAACAAATGTATGCCCTACAAAGCTGTTGTGGCTTGGAAGGGAATGAGCCAAGTTTGTGTCTGACTCGCTTCATCCACAAAACGGTCAAGTTCTGGCTGCAGAACCTGTGCGGTATAAGGGGCAGACTCCAGAGAGATCTTGACATCTGAAATACCGTGTGTGACTAGCATTTGGAAGGAAGCTGCATTTTCATTAGTAAACCTAGAAACTATATTTTTTAAGCTACCAAAGAAGCAGAAATGCTACTTCTTAGAAGCAAAAATCCATGCTGGGAAGTCGGGGTGAGGAACAGAAGTATTCTAGCACAGATGCTTGTGTGCCCTCCACCCCTCACGTGCACACCTTAGGATTTTTTTTTTATTTTGGTTGGAATCTTTTCATGTTGGTTAGATATCGCTGATCAAGCCAAATGCTAAAAATGTTTAAATGAGTAGCAGTTAGAAAAATGCCCTCTTGCCACCAGTTGCATGATAATAACCAAGTGATGGCTTACATGACGATAATATATAACATTTAATACGTATGTTTTAAATTGTTCTAGTTTGACCAAAGACATGACTGGGAAGGAAGACGTATACCGAGGCCCAGCCATTAGAGCCCTGTGTAGAATCACAGATGTAAGTACAGAACACACCTGTGATGAGATCAGGTGCCTCCATTACCCAAGGGGCATCTGTCTTGCACTGGAGGAAAAATAAGCCGCTGCTTTGAACCCTGCTGTTTTATAGACAAGCTGCTTGGAGAAGCTGTGGAATCTCCTGCCTTGGATGTTTTCTTGAAAACCTCTGACTGAACTAGCTCGCAGGCATGTCTAGCTCATGTCCTGTCTCTCAGTTGCTGAGAGGCGGTTCTTGAGAGAGAGACTATTTAAGCAGGGCTTATTCAGCCTGACCTGTATCCTACCACTCTTCCCCCTAAAGAGGTTGGAGTGGCATCTGTCTGAGTATTTGCTGGCATTAAACACTCCTAGGTAAGCTCTGACCTCTGACCTTCAGACCCCTACCAGATGCACTGAGATACTGTGCATCTGGTATCTATGCAGGGGCTGGACGAGGTGACCCTCTAGGTTTTTCTAACCCTTTGAATCTCTACCATCAGAGGAATCGCATGTAATACACTGGGCATGGGATTAGGCATGAGCTATAATTCTCACTCCTGCCCTGCCCTAGACTACAGCATTGATCAGGATGTTCGCTGCCAAGTACCTCCCTGGGGCACATGCTGTGAGGATTTAATGCCAGCAAAGCAGGGGGAAAGTGGTGTTCTCAAGACATGCTTGGTTTCCTCCCTGTACTCTTGTGTATATATTGACAAACTCCATTGTAAATCATCATTTCTCTTTGGCACTGTTAGGTGGATTGTTTTCACTCCCTTCAGAAGCAGAGCTATAGGCAACTGTTCATTTCCTTTTGTAGGGCACAATGTTGCAAGCCATCGACAGATACATGAAGCAAGCCATTGTGGATAAAGTCCCCGGTGTGTCCAGTTCTGCCTTGGTGTCTTCCCTAGTAAGTGGAGAGGTGGATTTATATTACTCTGGTTGCATTACTTATGGCAGAGGTCTGGGAAAGGTTTCGTGGTTTATAGGTAGCTTGCCTTGCCTGCGTTCTGGCTGTTGTACTTCTCCTCACACCCCTTTTCTCCTTTCTCAGTCCTGTCTTCTCATACTCAGAACTTTGCCTCTTCCCATTTTCCATGTCCCGTGCCCCAAGCAACCTCCCTCTTCTCCAGCCCCTTCCTTATCACAGCTTTTCCTCAGCTTTCAGTTCAGTCTTATCCATCCCAATACTCAATTGCTCATTCATCTTGTGTGCATCTTAATTTGGAGTATTGATTCTTCTTTGCATTGGGGGTGCCCCATACCCCTGCCTATATCTAAACCATTATTCTCTTAAGTACCAAAAATGTGCTTCAAACTGTATATGGGAACTAGTTTGGAGACTGTTTGCACTGGTGAGCCGGCAGGCCAAGACTAAATCCCCCTTGATGCCTCATAGTTGTTAATGATGTATTAGGAGTCCTGCAAAATGTGACTGTGGCAATCCTGTTCAAACTGTAGGCCACATAACAACACTCTGCCCTCTATACAGATTTGATGGTGACATTATAGAGATGCATTCCTTTTCCTCAAGGGCATCAGACTGGTTAACTAACCTTAAACTGGACTTATAATTGTTGCCTCAAGTCAGCCATACAAAAGAAGATGATAGTTGTTAATGTTTTTTCTATGCTCCCTTTCCCTTGTAAGCAGTGTTGGAACAATGAAGGTGTCTGGCACGGATTAGTGTTGGGTGGGTGTCAAGGATGGAGGAAGGGGTGATGGCATTGTGTCCTAATGTTGGGAGATGCGCAGGAAGGGGGCACATGAGGCAAGGAGGCTGCCCTTGTTGGTTGAGCAAAGGGATGGGGAGGAACAGGAGATGAAGCCCCAATGGGTAGGCCTGTGTTGTGGGTCCTTGGAGGTGAGAACATGAAATTGCCTTTGTACTGGCCAGTACTGACAGAAGCCCCAAATTCTGAGTTGATTTGTGAAGTGGAGTCCAGGGTAACAGATTGCAGTGTACAAATGTATAAAAGGCATTCTCAACACCGTGTGTCCTGTTGGCAGGAAGTAGAGCCCATGATTTAAATGACTTGGGGTAGCTATTTTTAATTAAACCATTTAGGAAATGATTTCATCATTAAACGATTCTCAGTAAAAGTCAGAGTTGTGGCTTTGCTTGTCCTGTTCATTCTTGGCTTCTGCTCCTAGCACATGATGAAGATCAGTTACGATGTAGTTAAACGGTGGATCAATGAAGCCCAGGAGGCTGCTTCTAGCGACAACATCATGGTACAGGTATGTAGCAGAGTCCTGAAGCTTATACTGTGCTGGTTTCCTAGGGCCCTTTTTGTAAGCCTGTGGAGTCTGTATTTTTGCATTTAGGTGACTACTGAGCTTAATATAGGTCTGATTAAGTAACTGTCAGCACTGCCCTTACACCTCAGGCTTGGTGTGATATGGGCGGGCAGACCCCAGTGATGCACACATTACAGGATCAGAGCTCTGTTTGTTACCTGTAACTCATCCCAGCCGGTAGCTGAAAAGGTTCTTCAAGTAGTTGTCAGTGACTGACTGCACTTAATGAAACTCATGACATCGGTTAGTTCAGTTGCATTTAGCAGATAGGGTCTGGCTTGCCATTCAGACTAGGGAATTTTTTTAAGGGCAGATTTTCAACTTGCTCTCTCCTTTTTGGCTGTAAAAAAAAAAAACAAAAACAGGATTTTGAGCAAATTGTGGAAAATGGGTGTCTCCAAATTCACAGGGCCTGATTCCTCTTGCCATGTACCTGGACTCTTTGTGTTTCATGCCGTTTCGTTCCCTTCCTCATTTCAAGGAGCTACAGTCCTTTTGCTGAGTTCATGGCTTGTCTGTGCTGGAGGACTTTAAATCTGAAACTACTTGAGAATTGTTCCTATTTTATCAGCCCAGAAAAATCCCTAAGTCTCTTGATTATATTTTTTGTTTGCTTGTTTTTTGTTTGTTTTTTGGGGGGTTGTTTGTTTTGTTTTTTCCAGTAAAACTTACTGTTTTGGGGTCTTCCCAGTTTGGCCTTGCAACAAGAGGTCCCAGAGGGCTAGTTCCAAACAAATGTTGAAGGTCTAAGCATATTTTAACTGACAAAGGTTGGCTGGATCCTTACTTGAACCCCAACCTATAATGGATTTGTGACTTGTTAAGTGCAGCTCTTGTTTTGGTATTTAGTTATGCCATATATTAATCCACTGTAAGAAGTGCTGTGGGTGATAACTGGTAGGGGTCCACTGATATTTTTTTTTTTGGGCCGATACTGGACAATTATTAACGAGCCATCTTGACTAATACCAACCCATTTGCCAATTTATGCAACCCAGCAGTTTGGAGAGCAGCATCCGGCTGGTGAGTCTGGGGCGGGGGGAGGAGAGGGGCATGGGGGAGGACAGATTGAGGCCCGTAGCACCCCCCCAGCACCGCTGCCACTTGGCCCAGTGCCACCCCTGGCCCTAAGCGTGCAGCAGCTCCCCACCCTTGCCCTGTGCACAGATTTGGGAGGTGCACACCCCCCCGTGCCTCCCCCAGGGATGCGTGCAGTGGCAGTAGCTCTCCCCTCCCCACGCCTCCCCGGACGAACTGCTCGTGGCTCTGTCTGCCACCCTGCCCTGGTGAGCAGCGCCTACTCCAGCCCTACTCACCTCCCTCACGTTGGGGACCTCGATCTGTGCCCCCCATGTCCCTTCCCTCCCCCTGCCCCTTCCCCAGCCAGACGCTGCTGTCCGAGCTGCCAGGGTGGCCGCACGCACGCGGCATTTATCAGCGACGTTATTGGCCACACCAGCCAAAAAAAGCTGATTGCCAATCATGTCAATTTTCCTTTTATCAGTGTTGATACAATATGGCCTGATGTATCAGTGCACCTCTAATAACTGGCAAATACAGGAGTATGTTCCCTCTTCAGCATCACACTAATGCGGGGACTTTGTTTAGCTGCCTCAAGGATGGTTTGCAGGGCCAATTGTTCATTAATGCACATCATAGATTGACATACACAATGTTCCAGGTGTTGATCCTGTTGCCAGGGAAACATTTTTCTCTACAAATTTCTATGCATCTCTTATGTCTGCTTCTGACTTCCTTCCATGTGGGCGAAGGGAGAGTTCACCTTTTCCTGGCTGCCTCACGTAGCTTTGTTGGAATTGTAGATCTAATTGCTTGCGAGGAATTTGATTTCATTTGATAAGTGATGTGACTTGTCGAAGACAGTGACTAAGAAAGTTTATATGCTCTTTGAGTGTACGTGCAGGGGAATACCATGTGGGAACAGGAATGTGATATCTGTGCAGCACTCGTGAGAGACCGTTACTGAAACACTGCATCACATTCAGTAAGA